AATGCAAAGTTGATTTAGTTTTAGTTTTGCATTGATAAATTTATTTTCTTACCAAACAATTTTTAGTTGTAATGGGTGCAAACACAAATTCCAAGATTAGAATATACCTTTCTCACCAACTTCGAGTGCAAAGTTTGCATCCATTTTTTTTATGCCAACAGCCTTGAAAACTGAACCAGAGTGCATATATGCACTGACCCGGCATTTGTATTGTCCCCAAATGGAGCTTAAAAAAGAAGATAAAAGGAAAGTGAAGCAGTCATTATGTGTCTTGTGATAGCTAATAAGAAGAGGACATGTGGTCCCTTAAATTGAATGCCAAAATGACATATATCCAAAAACTTGGTATCAAGGTTTTGTTTGTTCAATTTTTTCTAATGATCCATGTACGTTGCAAGGGATGTCTGATGTGCTCAAGTTATGCAAAAATATCCAAAATTAGTGTGAAGGTTACACGAAAGAGAACAAGTCGCAAAGCACATGATCAAAATGTTAGCTGTGAATTCACACGTACATAAATGGGAGAATTTAAACAGAAAACCTTTGATTAATGAAGATCTGGATAGGCTTGGAAGGCTATGTTTGATTTGAAGAAAAAGGTTGAGAAAGGTAGAAAAACCAATACAAGATTTGTAAAGATTTTCCTACTTTTCCTTTCCTTTTCTTTCTCTACTTTTTTCCTTCAAACAAACACAGCCTTAATGAACTGAACAAATAGATTTCCGCAAGATGAGCTTCAGGGAAGCACACAATGAGAAGGTTGTAATTGATTCGTCCATTATGATCACTGTACATGCAACAGAAAAAAGAGGAAATTAATTAAAAGCACTAGAATAACCACATATACCAGAAATTGTAGGCTCCCCCATGTCTCCATAGCTTCCACTCGCCAAGGTTAGTTTGCATGGCTAAAACAATTAAGGGGACATGACTTCACACATAGATGGGATAGGTGCAGACAATATATACGCGGTGCTATTGAAAGATTTGGATCATGGACTTAAGTTGCTACTAGTGTTCTCACATAACAAGGTCAAGTCATTAAGGCTGCGTTTGGTTGCAGTACAATTTTATTTGCACTAGTATAAAGGATGGGAGTGCAAATGAAAAAAAAATGTAAATTCTTGTTTAATTTTATTTTGGGTTTTACTTGATTCTGCTTCATGTCTTAATTTGTTTCAGTTGTACTGCAATCAAACAAAATAATTTAAAATTTAAAACAAAAATAGGTCAGAATTTACATTCAAATCATGTGCACTATCATAATTTTACACCAGCACAAATTTATTTTCATTGCAACCAAACACAGCCTAAAAGTGTACAAGAAGATGCTACATGAATTCACTCATGAAAATAAATGTAGTAGGTGTTTGGCATCAATGTTGTTCTTGCAAAAACGGTGCCATGCACATTTGGGCAAGAAAACATATGCTGTTTGGTTAGCCGTTTTTCCAAAAAAACATTTTCTCAGACTATGCCTTGGAAATCGGGAAAGGTGTGGTCTGAGAAAATACCCTTTTAGTGTTTTAAGTTTTTTCTATTGTTGCTAACAGCATGCTGACATGGCACTGAAAAGCGCCAATGTAGCACAACAGCAATGGTACTAAATAGAAAACCCAAAAAAAAGGTGCTCTCTGAAAAAATATAGCATGCTTATGCAGCACTTTTCTGAGAAAACGCCTCTTGGGAAATTGCATTGGTTCTAAACACTGCTGTAGTCGATCAAATGTTTTGCAAAAACAACTAAAATCAGCATTTATTATCTCTACCTTTGCAATTTAATTATAACTGGAAAGGATTGGGCTGCAGACTTGCAATAATGGGACACTACAACATGGAAGATATACAAACCAAAGGGGAATATCTCCAACTATAGTCTCAGATTTCAGTTCAGATCTCCTATTCATGTGCACATTGGAAACATTTTCCGTATTTGCATGTTACCATTCATGGGGAGATGTTCTCAATGTACAACTGTAGTATCATGTGGGTAGGAGATCTGAATTGCTCACATTTCCTGTATTTGCATGTTACCTTATGGTCCAATTAAGTTGTAAACAATGGAGATAGTAAGAAAATGAGATTTTGATGTGAATTTATAGAAATAGGGGTATCAATGGACTGGTTTTGGATTGGACCCATCTAAACCAAAATCAATTTGGATAGATTGGACAGACCAACAAAACATATCGAATTGGACCAGTGCAGACTTAATGGTCTAAAGTATTTATTGGATTGGATTGGACCTGGTCCATCTGTAATGAATTTATATTGGAATGGTTGGATTGAGCCAATATGTGGTCCATTGATAGAAGATAAGAATATAAGTGTCAATGGACCAGGTATGGGTTGGAATTGATCTAAATTAAAACAACTTTGAACATATTGGACGGTCCAGACATTGAATTGGACTAATCCAAAATGGTCATTGATTTGGACCAAATCCAGTCCAATTGACACCCCTACATAGAAACATAGTGTCCATATAGCATTAGGAATCTAGGCTTCTTTGAAGTCTCCTTTTCAAGGGACATAGACCTCGACATGAACTCTAAGGCTGTGTTTGGTTTGAAGGAAAAAATAGGGAAAGGATGGGAAAGGGAGAGAAACTTATACAAAGTTTGTAAGGGTTTCCCTACATTTCCCTTTCTTTCCCTACCTTTTCCTTCAAACCAAATATAACCTAAAAATCAAGCTTACTTGGTTATTAATCCCCACCCAAGTGGGAACAGATAAAATGCTTAGCCATTGCAGAAATATGCATGGTTCGTCAAACTATCCATCATGATCAAACTAGAATGTCTACAAGAAGAAGAAAGTGTTCCAAGAAATTACCAAAAGCTCAATATCTGCAAATGCGGAGCTCTGTAGTAAAAGCACCTACGTGCATTACAATTCAGAATTTTCAGCCCATTACTTTGGATTAAAGGTTAACATGCATAATCTCCTCATAGGTTGCTAGTTATGCAAAGGTCTTCTCAAATGGCTAAGGTTACATTTGACATTACTTATTTTAAGGACTTATCTCTTGTTTGCAGTTAACAATTAGCATCCCAAAGGATTGCTAATTGTTAAGCTTATAAAAGTATAGTATAAACAAAACCACTTGCTCTAAATAAATACAGAGAATTAAAAGTATAGTGTAAACAAAACCATGTGGCATTAGCTAATGAAAGACTTATTCCAAAACTATGCTAGCATACCCCAATATTGAAGTTGGAACTAAAATTAAACAAGCTAAATGCAAGAAAAAAGTAAGAGGACCAACCTGTAACACAACATTCCCAAAAGTGATGAATTTCTTGTACAATCCTCCTCAAGCTAACAACCTAGACATCTTGACTGTAACTCCCTCCAAAGATTCCATGACTGCTCCCACACAAACCAGAAACTTGACTCAAGGTATTCTCTCAAGTAGGAGGGGATACCCTTGACCCACAACTCACACTCAAGGAGAATTTACTTCTTTAAAAGAAAGAATACTCAAGTGTCACAATGGGAGAGCTTCAACCCCTTTGCTCTTCTTGAAGTACTTGTCTGCTTGTCTTGTTACACTTTTCAACAGGATTTGAACCTAGACATGGGTATGCCAAAAATTCAAGCTAGAATCCTAGCTTTTTGCCTCTTGAATTTGAATTAAATTAAGTTTGATTCAATTTGGAAAGATTCTAAAGGCATTTGTTGACACTGGAGGGTTAGTTTCAACACTCAAAACAAGTTTTATGCCAATAAAAACGCTCTAGAATGAGTTTTAGATCGAAAACATAGACTCAGATTGGAAGGAGTACAAATGCAACTATGTATACAAATACAAGGTGTTACACTCTACATATTTGTATTTGTACTCCTTCCAAACTGAGCCATAATGTTTGATACTCATCCGTATGGTTGGTACCCATGTCCAATTGTTTGACATATTATATGTCGAAAGCCGATACTCAAACCAGAACTCGACTTCAGTCAGTGCACGGCCCGTTCAAACAGTCTTTATCGTCTTGCAATGGGAATATCTCCCCATGAAATAAAGTACATATTCCCAGTGTAAGGCTGTAAAGACTATTCAAACGGTATTCAAATGGGCCTTGCACTGGCTGAAGCTGATCTCCTCAAACCAAAAGTTTTGGCATGGATTACTACTTTGAAGTTCGAAAGGTTTCAAAATATGGTTTATCACTACAAAGTTTGAATTGGTCCCAATTATGCAATGTCATGCAAACTATATGCAAAATGTCAAAGTACAAAAGTTTTGTGCATGATGCAAGTAAAATGTACAAACACATAAAATTTTGCAAATTTTTACAAAATTACATGAATTGTGTGTCAAATGCAAATATTACATGTAAAGTACGAAATTATGCACCATACATGCATATTATGTGTGAATTGTGTTCTAATATGCAAAACTATGAATAAGGAGGGCCAAAATGCAAGAATGAGCAATTTTGTTTCTGATTTTGATGACTTTAACCATGAACCAAATGGATCCTAATTTTAAAATTGCAAAATCTATATTGGTTCGAGTTTGGATTTCCTACCTACACCTACCTACATAATATTGCAGTCACACATGGAGAATATCTCATCCTCTTACTTGTTATCATGCATAGAGAGATGCTTGGATGTTTCCAATGCATAGAGGTAGTGTTTTGTGGGTAGGCATGGGTAGAGTTTTTGGACACCAGATCTCTTGCCCATGCCTGCCCACAATACACTACCCCCTTGTGAATTGGGAACATCTCCCCTGCATAATACTATGCAGAGGATGAGATGTTCTCCTTGTGTGGCTGCCATAAACGTGGGCAGAGTTCTTGTGGGCAGGAGATATGGACTGAGTTTTTGTGGGTAGGAGATCCTGAGTGGATTGATTCACCAAAACCTCCAAATTCAACCAATTCACTAAAGTTGGGCTTATATCGGGTTGGACCAGCCCTGGGCTATGGTCCAGTTTAGGATTGGACCGGACCGACCCACACCGCACCGGAGTGAAAAGGGGTCGAAAAACGTTGCATGAACCAAATGCCCTCTTGTTCAGTCCTGTCTCGGTCCCTTTTGCCCTAAATCCATTCCCTCTATCCTACTGTTGGTTGCAGAGCGACGGAGAAGAGCGAAGAAGAATAAATGGATACGAAGATGACAGAGGTGACTCAGTTATTCGATCGATTCAAAGCTGCTTCTGTGAGGAATGATCAGGACACCTGCACAAAGCTCCTCTCCCAGCTCAAGGTAACCATCCAACAACAACATTAAGCACAGGAGAAAATTTTATCTGCAGTTGAATACTTTAAGTTTCTAAGAAACCGTAATCATAATCACTGTATTTGCGTCTAGACTGCATCTGTTTTCCTGGCCCTTTCATTTTCTTAGTTGAGTCTGGTTCGGGGTTTTGAGATGTGGAACTTTTCAACTTTAAAGAATTACGCGCCCTGGTTTACTAAAGTAATGGACTAATGAAAGAAAAAGAAATTGTTCGCATGGGAATGTTTATAACCTTCTGAAAGACCTTTCCAGGGTCCACTCTAGGAAGATAGCAATTTGTTTTTGTCGTTATTGTTCCCGGGTTGCTACATCTCTTTACTCCTCCCAAATAGAGCCACATTTCACTAACCTATTATGGAGACGCAGGAGCACTAGCACTGCCATGATACAGTTAATACCGATTAACCTTTTATGTGCCTCCTCATCAAGAAAGAGATGTGCTTATTATCTTGCATGAAGATAGCCCTGTTAGATGAGAATTGTACACTATTTTTTTTTCCATACCTGATATTTAATTCAAAGGTTTACCCTACCTCTTCAAGAATAGGACAAAGAAACAGAAAGAAAATGATGAGGATTATTTGATTTGTTACTGATAAAAAAGGACTGTCTGATTCATTAATATGCAACCAAGATGTGCCAAACATTAGTTGACCTATTGGAAAGGATAAAAGGAGCATTTTATTATGGGGAATGATTATTTGTGGAAAGCTTGTTTAAGCATAAGACAAAGTTGGTATCAGTGTTTTAAAAGCGCAAGGCGCAAAAAAAGTGCAAGGGCCAATTTGCGCCTGAGGCGCAAGGCGCAAGGCGAGGCGTGTGCCTTTTTAAGAAAGGCGCAAAATTACAAATAAAAAGCTAAAAAACCCAAAAAAAGTCAGAAAATTCCAAAAAAATGCCAAAAAATTTAAAAAAATTGAAAAATATTAAACATAATGTTAATAAAAATATAAACTTAAATTTTAAAATAAATGATTTAAAAAACCTATTATCTAAAATTAAAATACATAAACATANGAAAATATAAAAACAAAAGCAAACATATAAAGCATTTTCAAGCATGTACAACCCACAATCTCTTTTTTTCCTTAATTGCATTGCTTCAAGTAGTTAATGTGATGTAAAACATATTGCATTCTTAATTCTATGAGTTGCCTTTGTAGCACACCCCTCGAGGCAAGCCCGAACAAGTCTATGTTAGGGTCTGAAGTTCTTATTTCTCACATAAAAAATAATGATTTTACAACTTGTATTGCCTTTTAAGAAGAATTTTTATTGCAATGAATGAATAAACAACATCAGCAAATAGGGGGTTCTCAGAGGCGCAAGGCGCACCAGGCGCGCACCTTTTGAAAGAGGTGCGCCTAGGACCTGGGCGAGGTGCATACCCCAAAATGCGCCTTGCCTGTGCACTTTTAAATCACTGGTTGGTATTTAAATCTAATAATACCAGAGGACATAAAATCCAGAAAATTATAAACATTTTATGCAGTATCGCACCTTTGAAACAACTTCTCTTGAATCAGTCAGGACTTAAGGTATCAGCTTATCCACATCTATGATGTCAGTAATAATAGAATAATCAGGATGCTCAGAAGACTGTAGCAGTGGATAGGGACATAGTTACTTATGGTTATGCCAACAAAAGCCCCTACTAGAATAAATTGGGAATGATGCACTCAACTCAACTTGATTCATCATTTTTTTTTATTTATTTTTATTTTTTTCTTGAGAAAAGGTAACTTTCATTTCAAAAGGAAAGGGAAAGGATGTGCATGATGGGATGTACAATCAAACAAAGGCCTTAACATCAAACAAAACAATAATCCACCCGATAGCTTATATGGGCAAAGTGCTTGCACTATACCAGAAAATCCTTTCTGATCCAGATTTGGCTAAAGATTTAGATGTTTGGTTCAATTCCCTTGGGATCCATCTGAAAACACAATGCAGGGATGCTGAGATTTCTCACATCTCATTAAGAAAATGTGCAAGTTTTCCCACCCAATTGCATTCCTTGAGTCACCTTTGATTGTGAGAGAGTTAATCTGGATGGACTTGGCATTTCTTATGCCCTTGAGAAATGCACGATCCTCTTCTTATGAAGCATCAGTAGAAAGAATTGGTCCGCTGAAGGTCCAAATCAGATTCCTGTCAGAGTTCAAAACAACTCCCTGAATGCCTGCAACTTTGGGCTGGTCAGAGAGACTTTTGAAACTGCCATCAAATTGCGGAATGAAAGCAACCTCAGGCATGGGAAAGAGAGTAGACCCGAGATGGGGATAATGGGGGAAGATTGCATGATCTCTGAGAGATTTCTGTCAAGATCACTATGACTAATTCCTGTGAACATCTTGTTTATCAACATCTAGGAATTAACCAAAGGTAGAATTCTGCCCCTAAGGCCTTCAAAAGAAGTGGTCTTGTCCTAAAAAAAAAATTCTTCTATTATGACCCCCCAACCCACATCAAGTTCCTATGATTGCTTTTCAGTAGTATCTATTCCTCTGCCCCTCCCTACTGCCAAATTGACTAATGAAATCATGAACACAGTTGGGGGGACCCAATAAAAGCTGCACATTATGCACACGGGGTGGGGGGGGGATATAAAGCTTCCCTGTCCTCTTATTTTGGATATTGTCACAAGTGTTAATGTGACCACAAGCAGCCTCTCAAATGAAGGAGATTCTTGGGGGAACTTAGAAAAGCCATATCCATTTGGTTGAAGATTGAAGAACTTGATTCAGCCTACTTGAATTTTGTAGCTGATCCTTAATACTCTAGCTTCTAAAATAAATAAAATGGTATGTCTTAATGAATTATACTATGAAAAAAAAATCTAAACATGCTAGAAGTTTAATTATGTTTTTTTTTTCTTTTATTGGTAGAAACTTAATAAATTTAGCATTTCAGAACTACGCCATTAACATGAAAGTTGTACCCTTGTATGTTTAAGTCCTGCATAGAGTAAATTGTTTAAATGCTAAATATTTGTAGTCACAACTTGACTCAACAAAGCCTTGATCTATTTATATGACAAAACCATCATGTATTAATGAAAGATAATTAACATTTCTAGTCTCAACTCAACTCAACAAAGCCTTTCCCACCAATTTGGAGCATTAACATTTACATGGGGAAAAAAAGAGAATCAAATTTTGAACCATGGCAAAGGTGATTCATGAAAAAGGTGAGAAAAAGATGTTTCTTTACTGCCTTGAGGAGATTCACCCAACTACTGCACATATAAGAAAGAACTATGCCTCTGAGTTGCAATATCAAAAAATTCACTAAATCTTCTCCAACTATCTCTCTTTGATAGATTTCCTCATATATTTTTGCTTGGCATCAATTTATAAACAAGGTGAAGGTTTCTTCTCTTGTTATCGACGTCTGTACTAACTTATGTTACTTTCAGGTCTTGTTGACAGGATTTAAAAGCCTTCCACCACTGTTTGAAGAGTCACCAGATGCCATTTATGAATTGACAATAGCAAGTAACTTTCTTAATTTAACCTTGTTTATTGTCTTTTGCTTACATTGTTATATGGTGTTTTTAACTGTTATTGAGAATGTATTTGTGTTGATAGTAGCTCTACTATTGAGATATTGTTTCAAGTGTCTTTCACTCTAATAGGGGTTTATTGGTCATTTATAATATTCTTAATTGAACTTTTTTTTTCTTTTTGATAGGTAACTGTTAGTGGAATTTTTTTTTTAATTTAATTTCTCACATAACATAATTCACCCAATTAGACTAATAACTGTTTTTTTTTTGTTATTTGGGTAGGCTTCATTCAGGAAATCATGTAGATGTTCCCTTAATTACATCTCTATTAGGGGTAGAGAAAACTTTTTGATTCAGATTCAGAAGTACAAATGAATTGACTAAACTAAGTATCGTTTTTTTACAGAATCTTCCTTTGAAAATTCTGGTATATATTCCCTCATTGTTTGAGAGAAAAATCAGCAAATAAATAAACAAACTTTTTATACATAACAAGTAAATAGGTATCATGAATAGTCATATTTCATCAATAAGGCTACAAATGGTCTTTAATTGTGGTTATGTGCATTATCATGGTGTGAAGAACCATAATCAACCAAGTTTTATAACAAGGTTGTAGATGTTTTTCCCCCTCACCAGGGGAAAATAGGAAAGATCATTTAACTAAGTGGGAGGTGGTGTGTAGGATTAAAGAGGAAGGGGGCTTGGGATTAGGGAACTTAATTCAGAAAAATGCAGCCTTACTGGAGAAGTAGCTGTGGAGGTGGCCTTTAGAGAGAGTCAGCTTGTGGCATGAGGTGATTGGAAGCATACATGGATGCTCAGAGATTGGATGGGATGCTGGTCTATCAAGGTGGGCAACTTCGACAACCCCTTGGAAGGCAGTGCATAATATTCTTCCTCAGTTATATCAGGTATGATGTGTGTGATGGCAACTCTGTCTTTTGGGAGGACACTTGGGTTGGAGATGTCCCCCTGAAAACCCTTTTCCCTTGTTCTCTGTTTTCTGGTACAAAAAAGTTGTTTCCAAATTTTGCTCCTCGTTGTAAACCCTTTGGGCTCCTACATGGGATTTTGGGTTCCGTAGAGGCTTAAGGGATAAGGAGATTGAGTGCTTAGTCAGTTTACTCTGCCTTCTTGAGAAAGCTTATTTGAACCCCTCTGAACCTGACAAAAGAATTTGGACACCTCGATCAAAAGGATTTTTCTCTTATGCTTCTTTTTTCAAATCCCTTTGTTGTTCTAACCCTCAATAGGCCTTCCCTGTTAAGGAAGTTTGGCGCAGACCTGTATTCCCTAAGATTTTGGCTTTTTATTGGGAAGTGTACTATGGGAAAGTAAATACCTTGGACAATCTACAAAAGAGAAGACCTTTTCTCTATATTTTCCCCAACTGGTACATCCTTTGCAGATCTCAGAGTGAGGACTATTATCATTTGCTAATTTCTTGTTCCTTTACTGCAGAGTTATGGGATTGTCTTCTCTCTTTGTTTGGGAGAAGTTGGAACTTTCCAGCAGATTTAAGATTGCTTTTTGATCCCTCTACTTTTGTTTGGCAGCAGAAAAGGGGTAAAATCATGTGGAGGTGTGCAAGAGCTGCATTGATATGGGCAATTTGGGAAGAAAGGAATGCTAGAACTTTTTTGGAGAAGGAAAGGAACCTTCAAGAAATTGAGGATTGTGTCTTGGTTTGGGTGATTCATTGGCTGAAATCTTTGGACTTGTTCCACCAATTCTCCTTTAATGACATTTGGAGGAATTGGGAAGTAGTGGGAAGTTGTTCATTTTCCAAGACTAAAGTGAGAACAAGCTGGTCATCACCTCCTGCAGGCTTCTTGAAGTTGAATTTTGATGGAAGTAGTCTAGGAAACCTAGGCCCCTCTAGGTTAGGTGGGGTATTGAGGAATGAAGTTGGGAATGTGATACTTATCTTCTCATGTCCTTTACGAGTGGGAGACTCTACTAGAGCAGAATTGTTTGCTGCCCTACAAGGTGTATAGTTTGTTGCTCAATTAGGGGTGGAACAGCTAATATTTGAAGGTGACTCAAAGTTGTAATAAGCTGGTTGCAGAACTCATAGTTAGTAGTTTGGTGCTTCAGGAATGAAATTAAAAAGTTTAAGGTCCTGACAAGAAACATGGACCTAAGAATACAATGGGTGGAAAGATCAGCAAATGCTATGGCGAACTGTCTAGCCAAACAAGGGGCAACTAAGGATTTTTTGTATTGGGCACAACTATAACATACTGTTTTTGTTTTCTTCTTTAGTGGAGAGGTCGCAGATCGCGCCTCTCCAAGGGCTGCTTGTATGTGCTAATATTTCCAAATTAATAAAAGGTTTCTATTTATTGATAAAACAAAATACTTCTTATATATGTCTTCTGCTATGTATCCTTCTTCCTCTCTCTTTTATCTTTACTCTTAAGAAAGGAAATAGAGAGAAACAAACCATCTACAACTAGGTGCTTTTACTTGGTTGATTATGGTCCCTCTATCAAGACAATTTAGGGATTAAGCCATTTACATTCTAATTCCCAAGGGCTGATTATGGTTCCCTTCAAATGAAAATGAAGAACAAAGGGATAAAATCCGTCTATAATCAAATATTCAACTTGATTGACTACCCTTGTATACAAAATCCAAAGGATTAAGACTTTCTACAGTCAAAATTTCATTTGATTGACTACAAATTATTGTGAAGAAAGGAGTGAGAAGGAAATCTTCTTTGTATCAAAAGGAAAAGAAAGAGAGAAATGTATTGTTGTAGATTTTCTCAATTATATTTTTTTCTTCTCATTCTTGTACACTTGATGTAAAAGAAATGCTAATGAAAAGTTCTTTTTTAAGTACTCTGTTGTTCTTTTCTTTTGTTCTATCCTTTCATTTCTCCAAGTCAAAATCAAAAGGTGTTCTCTACTTTCTTGTGGAGATGTAATTAAGGGGAACAATCCACATGATTCCCTGAATGGGCCTTATCCAGAATAATAAAAATTCAATCACTTGATTGAGTGAATTATGTTGCATGACAATTTATTAAAATTTTCACACCAACACTTGTGATGCCTCTCATATTGGGATTGGAGGAACTCTTTGCCAAGAGGGTCACCTAGTGGCTTTCTTTAGTGAGAAACTTAATGAAGCCAAGCAAAAAGTACAGCACCTATGACAAGGAATTCTATGCTGTAGTGCAAGCCTTGAAGTACATTAGTTCTCAAAAGAGGTTAATCAACGGCATGTCAAATGGGTGGCATTCCTTAAAAAGTACAATTTTGTGATCAAACACAAGGTTGAGAAGGAGGATAAAACAGCTGATGCACTTAATTGAGTGGTCTATATTTTCTCTACTATGGCAGTACAGGTGGGAGGTTTTGGTTTGCTCAAAAGAGACTACCTTACATGTTTCAGCATTGTCTATGCAGATTTGCAGTCAAGATAGCAAGCAACATACCCAAAGTTTTCATTACATGATGGGTTTCTCTTCAAAGAGATCCATCTTTGTCTACCCAATACCTCACTTAGGGAAGAGATAATTTGGGAATTACATGCAGTGAGTGTTGTAGGTCATTTCGGAAGGACAAAACTATTGCCATGGTTGAAGATTGTTTTATTGGCCATGACTCAAAAAGGGATGTAGCTAAGGTTATCAAGTGGTGCTGTGTATGTCATCTAGCAAAGGGAAGGAAACAAAATATTGGTTTGTACACTCCATTCCCCGTTTGACATTTTTCCTAGCATGACCTTAGCATGGATTTTGTGCTAGGTCTCCCTAAGACTCTATAGGGGCATGATTCCATCTATGTTGTGGTCATCGCTTCTCAGAAATGGCTCATTTCATTCCTTGTAGCAAGACATCTAATGTTGTATACATTGCACACTATTCTTTAAGGAAGTTATGCGCTTGCATGGCGTACACAATACTATTTGTTTTAGATAGAGATGCCAAATTTATGAGTTACTTTTGGAGGACTCTTTAGCGTATGTTGAATACTAAGTTGAAGTTCTCTTCAACTTTTCATTCTCAAACCGATGGTCAAACTGAAGTTATGAATAGAAGCTTGGGAGATTTACTACATTGTTTGGTGAGTGACCATGCTACACAGTGGGATTTGGTGTTGCATACAACTGGATTTGCCTACAGTAGCTCCGCGAAAAGAGGTACAAGTCGCAACCCCTTTGAGATAGTGATGGGAGTTCAGCCTAAGAAACCGAAAGACCTAGTTCCTTTGCCATTAGAAGCTAGACCAAGTGCTGATGAAAAAAATTTTGCTAACTGCATCAAGGAGATCCATGATGAAGTTAGGAGGAAGATTGCAACCACCAATGAAGCCTATAAGTCCTGTGCTGACCTATGACCTAGGTTTATTGATTTTAATGAAGGGGACATCGTAATGGTACGAATCAGGCCTGAATGTTTCCCTAAAGGTGTTTACAAGAAGCTCTGTTCAAGAAGTTCCAGCCCTTTTAAAATAGAGAAGAAAATTAGCTCTAATGCTTAATTGCTTGTGTACTTGATTTGCCGAAGGATATGGGTAGAGTAATGTGTTCAATATGGAGGATTTAATGTTGTAGCTTGGTGATGCAACCATTATGGACCAGCCCATGGGTTGCTTACCACATTCCCCCATTTCTAAGGAAGAGATTGAAGATGTTATTGATGATCAAATGTTTCAACACGGCATAGGGGATATCACAAGTTTCTTGTCAAATGGAAAGGCCTTCCTCTCCCTGATTGCATGATGCTTATTTGGCATCATTAAATGATGTGGGGCCCACATGGGAGCTATGTTAGTAGTGGATCAACTTGGGAAAACCCTAGAGTCTTCAATCCACCTTAAGATGCTCTTTGTGTGGTTGATGCTTGACAGGACTTATTTGACTTTCTTATATTTATGGGTAGTAAGGGTATTTTTGTAATTTTGCATGCTGGGGGGAGGGTTATGTTTGGGAGCAGTTCTTAGTCTAAATTCCCCTTTGTTTGGCTTTATATTTGTAATTGTTCGGGGGCAGATTAGTCTAATCTAGCTTCTTTTTGTAAGTGGCTCGTTGGGCTTCCTTCTTATTAAGCTTGTAAGGCTCATTTGGAGGATAGTTTTTGTTAATGAACAAAGAAAGTTCTTTATAGAATTTGGTTTGAAGTTGGGGGGTGTAATTTCCCTCACCCTTAGGTATGATTGCCTATGGCTTTCATCTAATTTCCATCTCTTCTCTTCTCTTCTTTCTTTGTTAGTTCTTTGTTTTGTGCTACACATGTAGACCTAAGTTGGTTGCAAGAATAGTGTTGAATCACAAAGATCCTGCATCAAGTTTGGTAGTTGGGAATGCATGTGGGAGATTCAGGTTTGTTGATCCAAGAACAAGCTCTTGGTGGAACCTTGTTCCTGCACATGTTTTGGTTGAGGTGATAGAAATCTATTGGGTGCCTTCGTCTCTGTTACTTTGCTCTGTTGGGGGGGGGTACTTTGATCTAATACTTGTTGAAGGGTCTTATTCATTAAGGTGGATAAAAAATATGACTTTGTGGAAGGTGGAAAGCAGCAAGGTTTATCAGTACTCTGGTAAGATTGGTTGGATGTCGAATGGTCATCTTGTAGAGGGTGGAGCAGATGTCGAAGATGAGAGTATTTTGGGAAATAAAGTTAAAGTTGTTGGTAGTGGGGGTGGTTCGTTGGGTCTTCTTGAAAATCTAGTTTTAAGTGTTTGAAGAGATGTGGAGAGTGTGGGGTTCGATTTTGATGTTCCAGTTGGTTTTGTATGTTGAGGATTGAGGGTCTAGTCTTGTTTGTTTCTTTGGCATTTGTAATTTTTTTCCTGGGTTTCGGGCTGCTCATCAGATATTTCTTTTGTTATGGGGTGGGGTTCAGGTATGAAGATAATTTTGTTTTTCCGGATGGGGTTTGTGTAATTGTTTTTTTTTTTTTTTTGATAATTGGGTTTGTGGAGTTGTTCTTTCTTGGGATTGTTCCTATTGGGGTTTTCTTTGGTCTTTGTTGGTTAATTGCTTATCATTTCTTCGTAATCTCCTTTTTATGTTTAATAATATTTTCTTTTTTATTTACTTTAGAAAGAAAAGTAGACTGAGATGGTTTGGTCATTTGTAGAGAAGACCATTTACCGTTAGAAGAAGTGGATCTGCTACAAGTTGAAGGGGCTAGAAGAGCTAGGAACAGACTGAAAATGACTTGGGTGGTAGTAAGAAGTGATTTAAGTGCTTGTAATTTAATGATGGATATGACACTGAACAGAATGAAATGGTAAAACAGGATTCATGTAGCCAACCCCATATGGTTGGAACAAGACTTGGGTGATGATTTGATGGGAGTTCCCATCACACCTTTATCTGCATCCTAGTCGGAAACCATGAGAAAGCAGTTTCCAGATGAAGAGACTGATTCTTGGGTAAATAGGAGCTTACAAAATTTTTTCCACTTTCGAGACTCCTCAGATTTGATTGTCCTGCTCAGGCTCAGCTAGTAATAACCCGATAAACTGGTTTGATAAATTTTCATTTCAAATGGGGGTAATTTTTCTCTTGGTTCCGGAGAAATACTTTCATGTTCTCTAAACCATGTGAACTTAAACTGAACTTTGAATAATATAACCATGATTGTTGCCAAAGATGATGAATGAATGGTTTCAATTTTTCCTATACCTGTTCTATTTTCTTGGTGAAGTCAAGTCCTTTGAGGGTATGATGTTCACTATTTCTAATGTTCCTGAAACTTAGTATGCATACTAAATGACTACTTAATATTATCAGAGGTTCTAAAGCAGTAAGGCCTCTAATTAATAAAAAAAGTGTCTGTGTGCATTTACTTGCATTCATATTTCTAATTATATTCCCCTTCTAATGTTTATTTGTGTGACTGAGAATTTTCAGGGGATATATATGAACATGCTGTAGTTCTTAGTGTGAAGACAGAGGACCAAGATGCCTTTGAGAGGGATTTCTTCCAACTGAAACCTTATTATACAGATGCTGGGTAACTTTCTGTTGGCTTTTATCAAGGAAACAAAAAAATGAAGTTAATTATACATCTTTAATTCTTCAAAGTGATATACTCCTTGACTGTTCCACAATGCATTTTGTTTATGTTGGACTTTATCATCACTAAATCTTTACCTTCCATCTTTTATAAGCTCTTAGAAAAGTAGTTCTTCTGTTGCTGGAACAGGCACCGTTTACCACCATCGCCGCAGCAGTACCCAATTTTGGGCCTTAATCTTCTTAGACTCCTCGTGCAGAACAGAATAGCGGAGTTTCACACTGAACTGGAACTGCTTTCAGCCACCACCTTGGAGAATCCTTGTATTAAGCATGCTGTGGAATTGGAACAATCTTTCATGGAAGGGGCTTATAATCGCGTTTTGAGTGCAAGACAGACAGTGCCACATGAGACTTACGTTTATTTCATGGATCTCCTTGCAAAGACAGTCAGGTAATATACTATACATGCATATTGAATTAGGAAATGTAAGGTGTCCATTGAGTACAATTGTATAAACAAACAACAATCCAATGGCATACTGGTGAATGTGTTACATTTGAGGGTGTAGATTTTGTAAGGTAGTCTGATTTATTGCATTCTTTCTGGGTGAAAAGGTAGGGCTGCAAATAGATTAGATCAAGATGGATATACCTAGATCCCAATTTGATTCATTAATATTCAGATTTTAATCAAGTCTTACTTGCCAGATTTTTATTGAATTCTAATCAAATTCAGAATGCAATTGAATTTTGAATAGCATTAATAAGTTAAACTAAAAGTAATATTATGTATATTTTTTTATTAGTACCAAAAAAGATTTTATTAATAGAAGAAAAAAGTAATATTATGTATTATTAATAAAATGAACTAGAATCGATTGCTATTGTGTAATGGATCGTATATGGGTCACCCTTAACTGGATTGAATTCAAATTTGAGTTCGAGAAACAGATAAATTTTACAGCCTTATCAAAAGTTAAAAGGAAAATTACAGGGAGGTACCTTGCACTTTTGGGGTAGTGATACTTTAAGGGCTTCAACTTCCACTTGCAACCTATCAACATTCAACTCCAGCCGTTAGCATCCCGTCACTTATCTGGAGCACATGATGTCATGTGAGCCTTGGAACATTTAAAAATCCCAAAACTACCTTTGCATGTTTCATGAAACTGTTTCTCCCTCTCCTTTATTGGGTCTCTAAAACCCTAGTTCTTAAACCCTTTCCTTCCCATTTTCTTTCTCTGTGTTGAACGAATAGGGTGTTGAAGCAACACAACAATCTGTGCATTAACCATGTCCATTTCTGTCATTTTGCAATTTTATTCTCTCAGCTACTCAAACCGTGAATGGGCATTTTGGTAGATTTACAACTCACTGTAACATCTGCAGTGAATTTTCACTTGAGTATTGATTTCTGAAAGTACAGTGTACATCGTTGTCGCAAGTGAAAGTTGAGGCCCTTAAGTGTCACTACCTCCAAAGTACAGGGTACCACCCTGTAATTTCCTCAAAATTAAAGAAAAATTAGAGGGACAATTTTTCAAAGACCTGATAAACGAGTGTCATCATCTGCTAAGTTCATTCTCTGATGTTGATAGTGTACTATATTGGCATGGTTACCTTGGTCTGTGGGTTCCAGCTCCACTTCTACATTTCATGTTAGCCATAAGTAGGAGAATTCTATTAATAGATGTTACATGTGGATGCGGTGCACTACACATATGCTGATGATACTAATGTCCTAAACACCATTTTGGAAGCTACCAGCATACCTGAACTTTGATTCTGTTGTTTGGAGTGGATTTTTCTTGGCTAACTCCCATGAAATTACAATTGCAGTCTGATCTTATACTCTCACACTGAATGCTTTAAGTTTTCAAAGTGCCAAGGTGAACCTAGGTGATAGGGGGTTCCTAGTTGCCTAGGCGATGGAGTTTTTTATAACAAAATTTATAAATCTCACATTAATTCCCTATGCTTTATAATAATCAGCAGTAACCTCTGACTTATAATTACCATAGTCCTCAAGAAATAAGTATAAGTGTCATATAAGAACATAGAAAATCAACATATTTATGAGAAGAAAAAGAAGAAAGAAAAGAAAATATAGGGGCTGGGCCCTTGTTTTTATCCCAGGAAGAGGAGGAATATTAGTAATATAATAATAATTATTAATATAATAATGACAATGATAATTATTATATATAATAATGACAATGATAATTAATATAATAATGACAATGTTAGTATATTTGAATTGTAATGTAAACTGAGAGGCTGTTCTCAGTCTTTGCTCCCTTCTGGGAGGCCCTTTGTATGGTTCTGATTTCTATTTAATAAATTTACCTTACCTTTTTCAAAAAAAATTATTATATATTATAATAATTAATATAATAATAAGAATGATAATGATAATTCCTTGGTTGTTATTGTGATTGGATAAAAACTTCAAGTTCTTTACTTATCAGTTCAGGTTTTGAAGTTGTAAAGGGTTCAATACTACATCACCAACTTGTGTTTTAATTGAACCCGAACAGATAATAAAATTATAGAAAGTAACTAGTATAAGAATTATAAAAATGTTATAAACCCTCAAAATGAATAATTTGGTGTAATAATATCTTTTCTAATATTATAAATATCATAGAATAAAAATATAAAAATACTATGTAGCACCTTATACAAAAGTATATAGGTGCTTGGGTGAGGTGATCCTCCAAGGGTGCCTTGTTGCTCAAGTGTAACCTTGACAACTATTAGGCCAGCTTTTATTAGTGAAAGCCTAAGTAACATCTATTTGGTAAAAGAATGGTTGGATTAGAAGAATGCAGAAACTCAGAAAGTTATATGTTCCTTATAGAGAGCCCTAGGGCTGATACAGAAGCTTCAACTCAAAGAAAAAAAAATAAAATAAAACTGGTTTATATATCATGAAGGTGCCAATGGATGCAAATTTTGTACATTTGTTACCTGCATGTTTGCTCCATGGGGACCTTGGACTTGTATATTATTTCAAATTTAGGTGTTCTGATATTGTAATAGTAGTGGTCTTTGGTCACTTGGATTTCAATTCTAGGAAGTTTTATTTATTTATTTTCTTATTCCTAAATTTAGTCCAGGTAGACAGAGTGGATAACTTTTATTAAATAATAAAATCATGATATATCCTAAAGGTGGGATTGCACTTAAAATAAAATGAAGATTAGCTCAATTTGTAGCACAGCCAACCTATTAAATGTTTAGAATGCTTGACTTATCAATTTGGTTTAGACATAGTTGTCAAGGCAATGCCTAGGTGACAAGGCGCTCTTGGAGGGTTGCCTTGCTCAAGTGCCTACGTATTTTTGCATAAGGCACATAATTTTCAAGGCTCCAAGGCAAAGCTAAGCGATAGGAGGGCCTTGTTGGCTGTTTTTTTTTTTTATTAGAAACGGTAACTTTCATTAGACAGATTAAGAGAAATACACTGTCACCACCCAGTTAAGGGTGTTTACCCCAAGAAAAGTGCTTTCTGATTACAGAACAGCCCAAAACAAGTTTTCCCTAAAAGTTCCTTTCTTTGCAAGGGTGTTGGCTAGTCCATTCGCTGACCTCCTTGTCCACTTGAACAGTGCCCCAACCTCCCTTGCTAAGCAGTTTATTTCCCTCATGAATTGTCGATGTGCCCAAGCCCCCAAGTTATGTGACTGCAACCACCCAATTAATAGTTTAGAGTCCCCTTCTACCTCAATCTGGTGTAAGCCTTATTGTTTAGCCAGCCTTAGACCTTGTAGCAAGGCCATAATCTCTGCTCTCAAAGAGTCTCCATTACCTATTGGACCTGAATACAGTGCAACCAGTCTGCCCTCCCTGTCTCTGAAGGCTCCTCGCACCCCAGAGGGACCCGGGTTTCCTAAGGAGCGAGCTCCCATCGAAGTTCTGCTTCACCCATTGATGTGCAGGAGGGATCCATTGCTCCTTTAACACAGACCTCAATGAAGAAGAGTTTGCCACACAGTGTACCATCCTCTAAACAAATCATCAGCTGAATAATCTTTAGATAAAGGGGATGCTTTAAGCCAATGAATGACCTTGGTAGATATGCAGTCAATGATTTTCTCCTTAGATCTTTCAGAATCCTGGAAGATCCTATTGTTTCTTTCTTCCCAGATTGACCACAAAACAGCTGCTCTTTTTGTCCTCCACATTGCTCTCCCCTTCTTCTTTGGAGGTCTAAAGAAGTTTGGATCAAAGAGTCTTACTACATCCGAAGGAGGGCGCCTTGTTGGCTGTTGCCTAGTCACCTAGGCAGGCGCCTAGGTAATGGAATTTTTACATAGAAACCATGAATCCTGGGAGTATTCCCTAGATTCTATAGCAACCAGCAACTACTTTTCGTTGATAATTATCTATGAACTTCATAAAAAAGGTATAAGCTTCATATTAAAACATAGAAAATCAACATATTTATGAGGAGAAAAAAGAAGAAAGAAAAGAAAATTCAGAAAATATAGGGGCTGAGCCTCTATTATTGTCTAGGAAAAGGGAAAAAAGGGGTGGATGTTGTCATTGTTGACGATGATGATAAAGATAAGCAATGTGTTGGACAGAATTTTAAGTTCTTCCTTGCATAGGGTTCATGTTTTGAAGTCTTTGAGTGTTCAAGACAGTATACACCAACATGTGTGTTGATTGTTGATTGAACCCTAACAAATAAGAAAATAATAAAAAGAAACTAGTATATAAATCCATAAAATGAATGTTTTAGTTTAATAATATCTATTTAATTATTATAATATTAAAAAACAAAGAATATAAAAGTGTTTCATAGCAGTATGTACATAATAGGTAGACGATTAAGTGAGGTGACCATCCGTGTGTGCTTTGATAGCTATGATAATGCACTTCATAGTTACTTATCAAAAAAAAAAAAAAATAGTGCACCACATAGTTACTTATACTGTTTTCTTTTTATTATTTTCTTATTTGTTTGGCACACAAGTCGGTGACATAGTCTTGAATCCTCTAAGATTTCAAAACCTTAACTGACATGGAAGAACTTGAAGATTTTATCCTCAATACACAAGAACAATTGATGAATGGTTTTTTTTCTTTCTTTCTTTATTTATTTTTTCTGGCGGAAATAAAGGATCCACCCCTTTACCTTTTTGTTTTCTAAAGCTACTGAAGCTACTGTTACCTGTATTTTGCACTTCAACTTTAGGTGCTGAAGCCTATGCTAACAATATTTTCTTATGTGTTTTTGAACTTCTTCTTTTTCAGGGATGAAATAGCAGGATGCAGTGAGAAGGCATATGATTATCTCTCAATTAGTGATGCAAAGCAGATGCTCATGTTCTCTTCTGAACAAGAGTTATCTGAATATATAACTGAGGTAGATAGTTTAAACATCTTGACTCGTGCATTTTATATTTTTCCCTTCTGCCCTTCAGAATACTCTACTTGTCAATATAAGCATTTTATATTGCTTATGTTGACCATTTTTCTTGCTTTTTTTATGTAGGACAAGGTAGGGGTCCTACAAATTCCAGATCTATGTTGGGATTTGTGGGGTGGAGGGGCTATAGGTGCTTAAGGATGGGAAAGCACGTAGGCAGTTTTCTGTCCATCATAGAATGAGCAAGAAATGAGAGAGTTCACTTTTTTTTTTACAAGTAACAGAAATTTTCATTAAAGATTAATATGGAGATTACAAGTAGATAAAAGAGGAGATAAGAGACCTTATCCACAACACCCATAAGAATAATTGCAATTTAGCCCAAAACATGTTATTCCTCTGATGGGCACACCTCCAGGCCCATCACTAGCACTTGGCCCACTTGCATGATCCCTATCCGGAGATATCAGAAGACCTACGTGAGAGCAAAGATTTAAAATGTCGGTGTCGGTGGAAATGTCTGTCATCCAAGTATAGGAAACATGTTAGAAATATCGGAACTATCGTATGGAAATATAATAAAAACTATATACATGGTGGAAACATTGTAAAATATGCAAAAATATAAAATGATATTTTATGAAATGATAAAAGAAGCATGGGGACACCTTTTTCAATTATTATCTCGTTCCAAATCATTGAACAAAGCTAAGAAACTAAGGTTATAGACAAAACTTTTAAAGTTGTGTGAACCTTAAGATTCAAGACTACATGACATAATGAGTTCAAAGAAAATTTGAACTTGTAGAAAATATAAATGATTCTTGTAGATCAACCAAATAATCTATTACACAAATAAAAACTAATATTTAACTTCATGTTTAAAATGAATATGGAACTGGTTCAAAGTGGTAATCAGGTGCCTTAGGTAGGCATTAACTAATAACTTTGATGCTCTACATATCTACAATATTGTCACCAAATTATGTTATAATACTATTCTTTGTACTCCACACAGTGCTGCTTGTGTTCACTAGGGAATATGTAGATTCCAATAAAATTTAGTGTCAGTACCCATGATAATGGAAATATGTCGTGGAAATATTAGGAAATTTATGGACATTTTAAATCGTGCGTGAGAGGATCATGCCAACAAGTTAGTTACAGCTGAGAGGCTTTCTGCATAATGTAATCCCTATAAATGATCATATAGAGAATAAAAGAGATTTTCTTTTGAGTGCTTCAACCCTATTCATCTTCTTCTTCTTCCTTTATTTGAACTTTGTAGGAGGACCAAACTCTCTCTCGAAGCTCTTGTGATAGGCAGTTCCTATCAACTAGAATGAGAACTTCGATTGGGGCAACCCAATGGTGAGTACTAGATCTGCTTCCATTGAGGAGTGTATTGATCAAATTGAGGGGGAACTTCACAAGTTCTTAGGCGACATGAATGAAATTAAAGCTACTCTGTGGTCTTGATCAAACTCAAGAAGTTAACCATTTGTGAGAGCAAAGACGACGAAGAGGAAGGTTCTAGCCAAACAATTCTAGCCAAACAAGTAGTCAGAAGTGGTGGGGTGACACCATGGAAATAGATGAAATTGGTCTTTTCAAACTACTCTAGTGAGGATCCTGAGCTTTGGATCTTTAAGGATGAATGGTACTTTGAATATTGTGAAACTCCTGGCAACTAGAGGGTTCCAATTGCTGCTATCCATTTGGAAGGAGAGGCAATTCTCTAGTTTCACTGGTTTCGTCAGTCATACCCACAAGTGACTTGCGCGGGTTTCACAGAAGTCCTCTATGTGCTATTCAGACCTATTGGCTTCAAGGATTATGACAAGCACCTTTCAAAATTGCGCCAAACAAGGTTGGTTAGAGATTATCAATTAAGTTTAAGTGTCTATTGACTTGAGTATAGGGGTGGCCGGTAAAGGCCCTATTAGGTTGCTTCGTTAGGGGGTTGAAGGATGAGATAAAGGTGGAGGTGAAGGCTCTGCAACCCACCTCCATTATGGTTGCTATAGGCCTGGTCCGTCTGTATGAAGAGAAGTTGGGCTGACTTAAGAGGCTATTGGGTAAATCTCAGGGTCCCATAATTAAGACCCCACCTTTACCCCAACTTATAGAAGACAAAAGGGCCCAAATCTAACTCCATCTATCCCAACTAAATTGGAAACCTAGGGCCTCGGACCCAATGTTCCTTTCAAGAAATGAACATGGGTGGAGGTGCAAGCCCGACAAGGTAAGTGCCTATGCTACAAGTGTGATGAGAGGTTCGACCTAGGGCACAAATGTAATACCTAACAAGTGTCTCCTTTAGATCAATGGGCCAAGGGAAGAAGAAGCCCAAGAAATTGCAACCCCTAAAGAAACTCAAGCCAATTTGGGTGTGATATTTGGTCTAGGCCCACCAAGGTATCTCTACAAGCCCTCACTGAGCTCACATCCCCTCAAACTATGAGAGTTGAACTACCTTAAGGGATGGGTGGTATCCATCTTGGTGGATAGTGGCAGCACCATGAACTTTATTTCGGAGAATGTGGCACTACTTCTAGGTTTAATCGTTAGGCCCACCTTCAAGTTCAATGTTCAAGTTGCCAATGGCACCTTACTACCTTGTGAAGGGATTTGCAGTGGCTTGGAACTCAATATACAAGGGGAAGATGTCCAAGTAGATCTCTACACATTGGTCTTTAGTGGGGATTACGTCGTGCTAGGGGTCCAATGGTTACCTAGCTCGGCAAGGTGATTTGTGATTGGTCAAATTTGAGCATGGAATTCCAAAAGAATGAGCACACTATCATACACAATGGGACTAAGGCATTGCAACCTCAACTAGCTACCATAAGCTCACTATTCAAATCTAGCTTGGACTTAGACCGGCCCACCTTGATGCTATTGGGCCCTTGTCATTCCAGCCCACACTTGGATACTATGGCAATAAATGCCAACACTACCTTTTATAATTAGGAATGGCAACGGGGCGGGGATCATATTCCTTGTCCCCGACCCCAATTTTGAAATAAATCCTCGTCCTTGACCCCGACAGAGACGAGTTCCCTATGGGGATCCTAAATCCTTGAAATTTTTTAATTATATATATATATATATATATATATGAGGACTTCATTCCCCAATCCTAACCCCGATCGGGGATCCCTATTAATCCCAATCCTCGTCCCTGACCCCATCAGGTCAAGGAGGTCGGGTACCTGTAGCTGTAGGGGATGGGGCAATGATTTAAAAGGCGCTCCTAGGTGCTTAGGCGAGGTTCATTTAAGGTATGTGCCTAGTGCACCTTGAGCTTCAGCCCAGGTGTATGCCTTTTTAATTTTTTGCGCCTTTTGTTCTTTTTTGAACCTAACGGGCCGGGGGCTCTACCCTCAGACCCCCAACCAAGCTTTGAGAACCCCCTATTTGCTTATATTGTTCATTCATTCATCCTAGTAAAATATCTTCTTAAAAGACAATTAACATTATAAAATCATTTACTTTTGTGTAAGGATTAAAATTTTAAGACCCTAACATGCATTTGTATGTGCTTGCCTTGAGGGGCTTGGTACAAAGGCGGCTCTTAGAATCAAGAATGCTTTTACATTACATTAGCTATTTGAAGTAATGCAATTGAGGAAAAGAAAAAGAGATTGTGGGTTTTACATGCTTGAAAATGTTTTATATGTTTGATTTTATTTTTAAATTTTCATTTGAATGCACTTTACATGTTATGTATATGTATTTCAAGTTTAAATAATAGGTTTTTTAAAACATTTATTTTAAAAGCTAAGTTTATATTTTTATTAATATTATGTTGAATACTTTTATATTTTTATATATTTTTTAAATTTTTTTATTTTTTGGGTATTTTTGTATTTTTGCACCTTGCTTCAAAAAGGCGTGCCTCACCTTATGCTTTGTGCCTCGAGCGCAAATTGCACCTTGCGCTTTTAAAACAATAGGATGGGGAAAATTGCCATCCCTATTTATAATTAGTAGTTGCAGGCCCTCCTAGCCTAGTACCAGATTCTCATCATGCACACGGCAGCTCCAGTTGATGTCGGCCCCTATTGGTACACACACTATCAACACCAAGAAATTTAACATTTGGTTCAAGACATGTAGTGGGGCATTATAACAGGCTAGTAACAGCGCCTACTCACTAGTTCTTTTTGTCAAGAAGAAAGACAACACTTGACACTTCTGTGTTGGCTACGAGCATTGAATGACATCACTGATAAGGACTGCTTTCCCTTACCCCTTATTGACGAGTTGTTGGATGGGCTCAGGGGAGCCAAGGTGTTTTCAAAGCTGGATCCTAGGTTCGAATAGCACTAGATCAGGGTCCATAGAGATGATGTCCACAAGACAGCCTTCCCATGATGGCCACTACGAGTTCCTTGTTATGCCATTTGGCCTATCAAACTGCCGTTGACTTTCCAATCTCTCATGGATGTCATGTTCAGGCCCTACCTCCATAAATTTATTTTGGTTTTCTTCAACGATATTCTTATCTACAGTCCTAGCTGGCCACTCCTTCATGGGTATTCTTAAGCAGCACTGGCTCTTTGCCAAGTGTTTTTGGGCAGGGGCAGACTCAATACCTTGGGCATGTAATGACTACTAATGAGGATGGGCTGGTCATGGCCGATCTAGAAAAAGTGGCTAGCATAGTGCATTGGGTCCAACCCAGAACAATGAAACAACTAAAGGCCTTCTTGGGCCTAACCAAGTATTGCAGACGGTTTATAAGGCAATTTGGGCTGTTGGCACCCCCGCGGTAGTCAACACAATCGTGAGGATGATTATGGGCTATGGCTGGGTTGTATATGTCTCGTACTAATTAGTTCCTCAACAATGGCTTCGATTTGACACTTCTGAAAATACAGGCATCTATAAGGCTGTACATTGGCCAGAGCAGCTCTTGGAACTATGGAAATCCAGTGGTCTCGGGAACATTGGGGTGGTAGCCCTGGGGTTCACTAAAAACCTTAGAGAAT